TTTGTTATAATTATTTTTCTATTTTTTTCACATTTACGAGATACAATACTTATTAATTTAATAGCTCAGTATTAGCTAGCAACAATGTACAAATATTTAGTTATCATGGTATTGTATGGTGAATTATGTGTCACTTTATTAACTTGTTGAGTATATGAGAATCATATTTAAATTGTGAATTATGTTTTTATAAAAATTCTCTTTCAAATAGAAAGCATATTAAATAAAGGAGTATTTTAAGAAAAATATCAAATTATAATATCGAAATTCTTTCAAGATTCATTACTCCTTAAGAGATACATATAAGATTTCGTATCGAATACATTACTTTGATGTTTGAGTTGTAACGACATTGCAACTATTTGCATATTATGTATGCCATACTCTTCGTATTATTCATAGTTGAATTATAATTTATTAATATTTTAAATATATTATTTGGTATAATTTTGTGATTTTAATGTAATTTTTGTAATTATTTTTTATTTTATACTATCTTAAAATTCTTGAAATTAGTCAAATTTAAAGATCCGCGGGACTTACGCCCCATGTCTCAGGGCTTACGTCTCGCCTCGTCAGAGGTAAAACGCTTCGCCTCACACCCCGCCTTTTAAAACATTGCTTGACTCACATTCGTGAATAATTGCGTCGTCTTTGTAAGGGTTTGTATGCAAGGCTTGTATAAGTTAACAAGATGTATCTTTTCACGAAGTGATATATCTTTTCACAAAAGACATTTCAATCGTCATCGCGATAATTATTTGGATTTATTCAACGATTAATCTTCGAGACCGCAAATCGCAATAGTCGTAAAAAGTAATTATCTGCTACAACAGTGTCTCTAACGTTAAAAAAAGATTCTTAATCCCACTAGTTTTATATATGAATTAAACAAAACTAGAAAGTTGTTATATTCTTTTCTCACTACGCCTCACGTACGAGTCATGCCTGCTTCCTTTAAAAATGTTCTAATTTGCTGGCAGCTGCGTGGTTCTTTTTTGTTCATCGCAGTGGTACTTCATGTTCCTTTCCAAGTTGCACAATTGAAAAATACGAATATTTCAGTTTGAAATTTTGTAGTAGAAAGTTAATACTACTCAATTGAAGTGTAAGCATCCACCATTACTCTGCTTTTCAATTTCCTTTGTTTTTCCATCTTTTTCTTTTGTGTGAGTGCGATCTAAAGCATTATATTCCTATTTCTTGTCTAATCAGTATAGGCAAATGCTTAGCCAGCAGCTTTCTTCTCGTGTGATGTTCATCTTCTCCTGTAAATTTAATAAGAAACTAAAAACTAGGTACGTAACAGTTTGCCTCATCGTAGGTAGGGCTGTAATGTGGGCCGGGCCCGGTCCTAAATGGGCTTCGTGGGTCGGTCCTAAGTGGGACCGGGCTTTGTGGGCCGGTCCTAAGTGGTCCCGGATTTCGTGGGCTTTTTGTAAAAAACAGCCTGGGACCGGGACCACGAACCAAAGGTCCCGGGCTAAGTGAGCCGGTCCCGGGCCTATGTGGGCCAACAGTTACTTTCTATTTTGTTTTTTTTTAATTTTTTTATTTAAGGCAACTCCTTGTAAAATTATATTATAGAATTGTGACCTAAATTTTTTAATTCAAATTTAAATACAAAAATATTGTAGAAGGTTGTCTAGAAAAAGTAGGGGTAGTAACAAGAGGGGCAGACGAGGCATCATTTGGATTATTATTAGTTGGGTTAACTTCAGCAACAGGACAGGGCAACATTTGGATTATTTTATTTCAAACTTACAAATTAAAGTTTACATTTAACGACAACTAAATTAACGAAAAAAGAGTAAAACTAAATTTTGATTGCATAATTATACTTCAAATTAATCTAACAAACTAAAACATTAAGCATAAATACGTCTAATAATTTTAAAATAACACAAATTGTCTCAAATCAACTTAAATATGAATTTCTGGAAGACGCTGAAGACAACTCTTCATATGCCTCCTTAAACAGCCTGTGCCCACCCACTTTAGACGAAGATTTAAGACTAGACCGCAATTCTTGCAATTTACTTTGTGAACTTCTTCATTTTCTTCTACCACCTCAAAGTGTTCCCAAATATATGAGCCCACTCTAGAAGTACGGGGCATGATTTAAATTGAATTGAGAATTTGAGTTTGAGAAATGAGAGATGAGTGAAGAAATGAAGAGGGGGGAGGGGGGGGGTGTATTTATAGTTTTTCAAAGGGTAAATTAGTAATTACTAAAAGTGTTATTTTTAAAAAAAATATTGCAACAATAAAGTAACCAATTATAGAAGAAAATTAGAGAGAGATTGAGAGAGATGGATGATTTGGTGAGAAAAATGAAAGAGTGAGGGGGTATTTATAGTTGAAAATAAGAAAAAAGTGTAATTATAAAAAGTTTTGGGTTAANGTTAAAACAAAGTTGGGGGGGGGGTTAAATGGCTATTTTGTAAATAGCCAACGACTATTTTGGTAGCCCATACGGGCTATTTTTTAAATGCCCTAACGGGCAGATTTTTAAATTTGGAGCCGTTGGGCCGTTTAGGACCGGTTAAACCGGCCCACTTCCCAGCCGGTCCCGGTCCCATACGGTCCCGGTCTCGCGGACCTCATGCACAAGATCGGCCCACTACCCAGCCCACCTCCCCACGGTCCCGGTCCATTTGAACTTGCGGTCCTGGGACAGACCTGGTCCTAACCTGCCCACATGCCACCCTTAATCGTAGGTCTCTCTAAAGTTTATCTTATCTTTTTTACAAACTTGTTTTATTAGGTAAAATATAATTAATTGCTTGCTGAAATACCGAGTCAAGAGATTGGGTTACAAATACTTCTTTGGCATGCATTCCGAATGATGGTAAAACCCGTTAACATTGTATAACAGCTTTAAAAGCCATTTTCCTCGTAATCGATTTTTCAAGTTATATTTTATCTATTTATAACAGTTTTTTTTACCTATAACAACAATATTCATATTTATTGCAGAACATTATTTGCAAAAATTACTCCTTATAACAGCCATATAGAATCTTTAAGATTACTAATAGTAATTCTAAAAATATGTACACAGTCTTTTCACTAAACAAAGTTTCTATCTTTCATAAGATATAAGATTTGAAGATTTGCACATGATATCTTTTCAATTGGACAAATTCAAAAAATATTTAGAAAGAAAATTTAAATGTTAAGCTCTTAGATTGTCTTCAAATGAAAAGTATTTGATACCTTTTTGCTGAAAACTTGGACACGAATCTTCGCCAATTCAAGCGTTATATCACTAGCTAGTAAAAGAATGAAATCTACGAAACATGCTACAATTACAAAGTTCTTCCATCAATCTTGAAAGAATATATTTTTTTAGGTAGCTTCAAAATGTCTGGCTAAGAATTTGAATCTTTATACAATTAGTTATGAATTTATTGATAATCTATTAGCTTTTTTCAATATTTAACTTGTGAAATATACATATCTTTTGAGGTTTTAAATTAGAATAATTTATTTATTTTTTATATGTAACATTAAAAAAGAAAAAATAATTAAATTTTGGATAATTTTTATCTATAACAGCCAAAAAATATTTAAATGCCAAAATGTTGTTATAGGTGTATAACAGTCATTCACTATAAAAGCCAAAAAATATCGAAAAAGGCTGTTATAGAGAGGGTCTACTGTATTTGGTACTTTTCAAAACCTTTCACGGGCTAAGTGTCACTTTACCAAGCTTCAAAGAAGTTTTCAATTCAAGTTTTACTACACTGGATTAATATTTTTATTTTTATTTATTATTTTATTAGTACAATTACTTGAGTGTTAAAAGATTTGAACTCTGATGTTCCACAAGATAGGCTTCATTGTTGATTCAGCAAATAATTTTACACTTTTGAGGATCCTTTTCCCCCTATTTGATATTTTTATGGGTGAGTTATTTGGAGAAGTTAATCTATTTCTTTTATTTTTGGGAATAATTTAGGAAACTAATACAAATGTTCTAGGAGTACATTTTAGCCGTGGTCCAGTGGTGAATCAAAGTATTTGGGCTCTGCGTGTACATATCCTCAAGTTGGATATTCAGATTGCGTTTCTCTTCATTTGGGTCAGTATTACACTTCTAACGAAAAGGCCCATAAGACCAAAGATCATTTTCGGCAGTCAGCATTCAGGCCCCAATTAGCAGCTTGTCTACCAGTTAAATGAAGAATTAACCCAAATAGTTGCCCACCAAGCAACTGCTTAAACTAAAAATAGGTATAATATATGTATTATATGCGTATAATTATATATAATCAATGTATAAACTATGTATATGACTAGAAAAAGTAAACAATGAATATGACGGGCTATTTGTGTAAAAATCAAATCTCAAATTCAAGAGACCAAGCGCTTTTTTGTTGTGCCCATTGCATCTCCATTGATCTTCAATGTCAGTATGTGTTTGAATGGAAAGTAAAGCTCCCAACATTTTAAACAGCCAAAAATTCGACCACAGAATAAAAAAGGAGGCTGTTAATGGAGCATAATTCAGCCTGCTAGATTTTGATTTTGCTCCCAAGTCCAACATTTGAACCAACAAGATAGTTGAAGAGGCTGTCAAATGGAGCATATTTTACTCTGCTAGACATTGATCTTGAAGTTTTGAGGTCGAATAATTGATTACTCCTATGATTTGCAGCAATTTTTGTAATTCTTTTTTTCCCAGTTAACAAGGAAGTTGAGAATCCAACTGAAATGCATAATTGTATGTTCCTCCTTTTTCTATGCATCTTCTTTTTGTGTTCCTTAACCATTAGCGCTGTTTTGACATCTTCTTTGTTATTCTTACTTAGGGTGTAAGGATCACAGTGTTTATATTTAACTTGAATTTGAGTAAGGAAAACAAGGAATAATTAAAAAGTAAAAGGAAGGGTGGTGCTTGCATCGCAAAGTGTTTTAACCTGGTTTTATCTTAATTCTTATCCTTTGGCGTTGCTTGGGAAATGAAATAAACAGAGTCGACTAGAAAAGAGAAATGAATAAAAAATGAACTAAAAAGCCGTGGTAATATTACCATTGTCAAATGCAAGTGCATCATTTACATTAACTACGTAAGGGAAACGTGAAATTTATGCAATAAGCACTCTTCTTACTCTGCGGATTACTCTCCGACAAATTGGGCAATTCTTGTTTTCTTCCTCAGTAATCCTGCATTAAAAAACAAAATACAAAATCCCACTTCAGTTAATTAAATTTATGTGCCAACTCATTTTCCAGATCAATATTCTAAATAAAATACTAATATACACCTCTTGGCACATGCGTGGCAAGTAGCGCAATGGCCGCATGGAATAAAGAAACAATTTCGTTTCTCTTCGTAGCAAACTATGCATATGTTTTCATCACACAAATCTTCTGATGAACTACAACGACTGCAATTTCCAGATTCTAAATCATCTTCGTCACATGTTCCATAGGATAAAGAAGCGCTTGCTTTCGAAATTAATCTGTCTGTTTCTCTTCTTACTGCATCATTTCTTGCCATTTCACCCTCACAAACTCCAAGTAATTTGATTAGCAACGCAGCAACCATCAGCAGCACCACTTACAAAAGATTCAAAGTAAAATGTCAATTTCTTATAGTAACATTAGCCCATGATGTTTGTGTCTTGCAAATGAGTACAGAAACCTACGGATAACTGATGAGTAAACGATCACGTTGAGAATGTACTCGAATGCAGCCTGTCGTTGATCTTGATCTCCCTGAGATATTTCAGCAAAAATCAGATAGACAGATGTTGACAACATAAATTAAATAAATAAAGATATGTTTTCTTCCCTCAGAATTTAAACTTTTAGATGACATGATTATACAGTTCAACAACATATTATCTGAGAATTAATAGCATAATCATGATATATAGGTGGAGCCAGAGATTATAGGGACTTACTTGATTTAGGGAGACGAGGATGTCGTATTGACTGTAATTGAATTGAATTGGACCAGGTACTAATAGATTTGAAGACATGTTCTTTAAGGTTCTGCTTTTGCCAGAGTAATCTGCAATTTGCTCCTCCTTTGCGAAGTCTCCAAATCAAATGAAGAAGCACTGACAAGATTGATAGACTGCCATTTGAAACATTTTAAGGATGTAATGGAAATATTATATTGAGGTGAAACTTAAGGCATCATTTGAAAAAGAAAAGACTTCAACTGTTGCAGCTTTCGTAGAGATTACGGAAATATTTATTCTTCTATGACTTTGATGGAAGTTGTTAGTAGTACTTATAAAAATTTGTGTCCACTTTCACAGTCCAGGTTTGCACTAATTAAAGTAAAATTCCACCAGAAAGAAAAAAGGTGGTAAGAAACTACCCAACTAGATTTTTCAAAAAAATAGCTAAGCAAAAGGACTTATGGCCCAAAGATTCTCCCTTTCACAGAAAAAAGACATAAAACTAAGTTAAAAGTAGGAAAAGCCCTTCACCTTACTTAAGAAAAACAGCAAGTTTAATTTCGTCTACTGAAAGCAATATATATAGCCTTTCACTTTCTCATAAACCAATGGAACTGTCGCTCAAACACTAAGCAACAAAGAAAAGATAAACAACCCGAAATTTCCAGTTACTATGAAGAATCCAAAACAAAAATAGCTTTTTGTTGTATTGAGAATTTAAATGAAAGGGCTCACTCAAAATCCAGAAGAAGAAAAAAACAAAGTTGCAAAATGGCAAAATTGCAACTTGCAATTGCATGTGACGTTACTTACCTTAGAAGAGAAGGCTTTATAATTAGGAAGGGTAGATAATGTGTCCCTGTCAACAGACACTTAGAAGGTGGGGAGGAATCAAAATACACATAAGCTTATGTAATATTGCTTTCTCTGCCATTATTCCTTCACATCAGCTTCGAAGAAAATAATTCACTCCTCCTCTAAACAGAGCAATAATTTAATCAATAATAATACTGCTTCTTATTTTACGTGGAATTTTTTTTAGTGGTACCAAGTTACCCACTATATGCCCATACCTATTAAATTACTTATTTAAAATTTTTGTGTATACATATTTATTTATGGCGTGGGAGTCGGTAGGCCCCCACAATTTTGCTACAAATAAAAGCAATAGAAATGGACCAAGAAGCTATTACAGTCAGACCTCTCTATAACAACATTCGTACATAGCAGTCATTCACTATGAAAGCCAAATTTTTTTGAACTGATTTTTGTACTATATTATAATATATGTCCTCTATAACGACACATCACTATAACAGTCAAAAAATATCGAAACAAGCAAGATCATTATAGAGAGGTTTGACTGTATGATATTGACGTGATCGCCTGAAATTGTTGTGCCGAAGGTCCAACCAACAGGAATATTTGAGAAAAAGGTTAATTACTTGCTCGATTTCAATATAAAAATAAACTGGGCTGTTACTTTTTCTTTATTTTTCTTTTGGTCAAAAGGTAGCAGTTGGAATTGGTGAAGACTTCTAATTTTTTTTCCCTTTTGTACAACTAAGGCTTCGTTTGATGTTATGATAGTTTACAAGTTATGTTTTGATGATCTAACAAACTTACTGTCAAGAATCAGATAAGGAACCTGTTACATATTCTAAAGACCTTAAGATCACAAGGCTCCAGCTTGGGATATGGTTCAAATCTCCAGAGTCGAAGGAACAGCTGAGGGAACAGATCTCTACCAGCTCCCGAGGCAACTGTACGAAGTCAACTCTCCAGCTGTAAAGTGCAGCCTGCACACGCTACTGTACAGGAACAATGCAGCAGTCAACTTTTTGTGGAAGACTTTTTACCTACCTTGCTTACATCATTGCAAGTGATGCCACACATGTATTATTAATATCAAGGAAGGTAAAACAAAGTCACTTGAACTTTTAGAGAATTTACTCAAGCTCTCTCACGTGATCATCCAGCAAGTAATTCTCAAGTGCATCAAGAACAAAGAACAACACGGCTACGGACCAGTTCCTATATCAAGTTATTGTATGTCCTTAGTAGAGTTGTAACTTTGTAATAGTTCTTCAAGTGTATTCCCTACTTAGCTTGTCTAGAAGCATTATGTAGGAAACCCTTTGTAAATCTTAAACCTTTGTGTTTGAGTCTTGGCTAAAGTTAGTCGAGTTGTAAAGTCTTTGTAACAGAGTTATTACAAAGTGGGTTGTGATAGAGTATTACAAGTTAGTAAGGGATTAAGAGGTTAATTCCTAGGTTGGATAGGTTGTAATATAAAAGTTGCTCAGTAGTGAAGTTGAAATCCTACAAGGGTAGGTCGTGGTTTTTAATCCCGTTGAGCTGCAAATTTTCCACGTAAAATTCCTCTTGTAATTTACTTACTGCTGTGTGCATGTGTTTTGTTGAACCTGATAGAGAACCTGGTTCTCTATAGAGTTTGGTGGACCCTTATATTCTATCAATTGGTATCAAAGCAAGTTCTTTCTATTAGGTTAACACCTAGAAAGGATCCTCATGGCTGCTCCTCCAAACTTCGAAGAAGGCCAGTCTACTTATAGAACTCCAAGGTTCAACGGACAATATTATGGATGGTGGAAGACTAGGATGCACGACTTCATCATGGCTGAAGATTTTGAGCTATGGGATATCATATGTGACAGACCCTTTGTTCCTACCAAGAAAATTGGCAACCCATCTGTAGCCATCCCCAAGACAAGGAAGGAATACAATGACGCTGATCGAAAAGCCATAGAAAAGAATTTTCGTGCAAAGAAAATTCTCGTTTGTGGCATTGGTCCCGATGAATATAACAGGATATTAGCATGTCAATCAGCAAAAGAAATTTGGGAAGCTCTTCATACAGCTCACGAAGGAACAACACAGGTTAAGCAATCCAAGATAGGCATCCTTACAATTGAATACGAGCTCTTTAGGATGAAAGATGATGAATCTATTCAAGATATGCATACCCGGTTCACCTCTATCACTAATGAGCTTCACTCTCTTGGTGAAATCATTCCAAGAAATAAGTTGGTCAGAAAAATCCTCAGTGTGCTGCCCAGTTCTTGGGAAAGCAAAGTGAACGCCATTACAGAGGCTAAGGACTTGCAGGAGCTAACCATTGATGAGCTCGTCGGCAATCTGAAAACATTGAAATGAAGAAAAAGAAGGTCAGTGAAAGAAGAGAGCCTAAAAAGGAGAAGAACCTGGTCCTCAAGACAGACGCAAATGGTTCAAGTGATGAGGATATTGATATGGCTTACTTGACAAGAAGGTTCCAGAAGATGATTCGCAGGAATGAAGGCATTCCAAAAAGGGGAAGCTCTAGCAAGCTAAAAAATTATGACCTTTGTCATAAATGTGGCAAGCCAGGACACTTCATCAAGGATTGCCCTCTCCTAAAGAAAGATCAATACAAAAACAACTATGATAAAGCAGCCAAGAGGAACCCGATTCCTGATAAACGCTTCACTAGGAAAAATGTCGCTGACAAGCAAGCTCTTGCTGCACGGGGAGATTACTCCAGCGAGTCTGAAGAAGAAAATGATCATGGTGATAATTCAATGATGGCAGTGGAAAGTGAAAAAAAATGAGTACAATTTAATTTTTGCCTTGATGGCTCAGTCTGATGATGATGAAGATGATGAGGTAAATTTTCTGGATGTTCAGAGAAATCTGAAATCCTATTCTCCTAAAAAACTCATATCATTGGAAAATGTGTTCATTGATGCTTATCACATTCTTATAAATGATAAAGATACTTTGACTGTAGAGTTGGGAGAAGCAGAACAGACCAGAGATGACCTAGTAGTCACTGTAGTTGATCTAAAGGAGACAATTGAGAACCTGGAGAAAGATAAGGATGCCTTAGATAAGAAAATTGCAATTGTAGAACAAGAAAGAGATGATCTAATGGTTGTTATGGTAGACCTAAAAGAGATCATTTAAAGTGTAAGTAGGGAAAAAGAAGTCTTAATTGAGAGAGTTGCTAGCATTGAGCATGAGAGAGATGACCTACTAGTGGTGGTAGCGGATTTGAAAGAAACAACTAGGAATGTTAAAATGGAGAGTAGGCCGAAAAATTGTCAAAAAGGTAAGGAAGTTGCAGGCGAGGCACATATTAAGCTTGAAAGTGAGTTAAATTCAATGAAGTATAGTCTTTGTGCTGAGCTTGAGAAAAAAAACCAAATTCAGGAAGAACTAGGTAGAGTGAAGAGTGATCTTGAAAAATCACTCAAGTGGACCTGGTCCTCTGATGCTATCACTGCCATGTACACCAACAACGGGGAAAACAGGCAAAGGATTAGGTTTCAAAGGGAAAAGAATCACTACATCCCTTATAGCAAGTACGTTACTGTACCTGAAAATTGGCTTTGCACTCACTGCGGTAACAATGGGAACTTCAAAGAAAACTGTAAGGCCAGATTTCAGTCACAGCAGAAAAACAAATCTTTTGCTGAAAAAGTAACTACTGGTAGAGGACATGGTCCTTCATATAAAAAACGCATGATGCCTGCATGGACCAAAAGATCCCTCATTCACCCCTTTCCTCATTACAAGAGACCCAAATTAGTTTGGGTTCCTAAAGCTAACTCCTGATTTTCTTGTGCAGGGAACAGTGAAAGGAAGCAACCTACAATGGTACATGGATAGTAGCTGCTCAAAGCATATGACTGGAAGTACAAATGATTTTCTTTCACTTAAGGCACTGCAAGAAGGGAGTGTATCCTTTTAAAATGGCAAGAAAGGATACATTCTGGGAGTTGGAAGGATTGGGAAGTCTCTCTCTCACTCAATCAAAAATGTGTACTATGTGAATGGGTTGAAGTATAGCTTGCTAAGTGTTTCCCAAATTTGTGACAAGGAAACAAGGTGGAATTTGTGTAAAAAATTTGTACAACCACAAACCTGGTGACTAGTGAGGTGGTGCTAGTGGCCAGAAGATACTAAAACATCTATGTTGCTGATTTTGAGTCTCTGGAGAATGGTGATCTTAGCTTTCTAAGTTCAGTTGATGATGATGCTGAAGTATGGAACAGGAGGCTGGGTCATGCAAGTTTCACGTTGCTGAATAAGTTAGTTAGGAAGGGACTGGTTCGTGGTTTGCCCAAGTCAAGTGATAATAGGCGAAATCTAGGTGATTTAGCTATTGTTTATGCTTCCGCTTGATTATATTCCAACGTAATAATATGGTTAATTGATGAAAAATAGGCTCTAATTGTGATTTGTATACATTGTAGGATGAGGAGATTATATGATGCTTTCAAGAGGCTATTGGAATGATTTATGAGCAAGAACGACCCCTCAGAGCTGAGTGCGTGCAAGGACGAGATAAAGAATGCTAGAAATCATGGCCCAGATGCGCGAGCAGACGCGCGAACTCATGCGCGAAGTCGTGCGCGTTAAGGGCTGAGGCAGAATGACGCGCGAAGTTACGCGCGAAGTGACGTGCGAGCTCGCGCGAGGCCGGTCCGGAAAAGAGTTATTTAGGGGTAAAATTGGAAATCTGGAGAGAAACCCACTTAACCTATATAAAGTCAAGCTCGCCCAAGGTTAAGTTATCAAGGTTTTCATAGGGTAAAACTTACTTTTGAGAGTACTTTGGCAAGAGAAACAAGTGTGAAAGATCACCCAAAACATCATTATTCTTATTCTCTTTTATTTTTCTTGCAATCTTCGATTATGAATCTTCTAGTAGTTTATTCCTCCATTGTTATGAGTAGCTAAATACCTTAATCTAAGGTTTTGGTGAACCCGTTGGGGATGACTTGGTTGTTTTA